TTGAAATTGTCAAGGGTCCTACAATGTCTGTATGTAGAAGCTCAAATCTACCTTTTGGTATAGTTATTTTACTAATGAGTTTTTGTGTGTGTTTAAATACTTTTGCTTTTTGGCAACCTGTGCAAATTCTAACCCATTCATTGATTTCTTTATTCATTGATGGCCAGAAATATTTGGATTTAATTAAATGTCGTGTAGCTCTAGTACCAGGATGAGCTATGTTATGTAAGTTAGAAAATGCTTCTTTGCGAAGGCTTTGTGGTATGTATGGTCTAGTAGTTCAATTTGATTCTTCACAAAAAATTTTAATGTTAAGAATAGGAACTTCAATTTCTATTAATTTATAAATACTCTCTGGATTCTTAATAAAATCTTTTAAAAATGTATCTTTTTGCTGTTCTTCATATAATCTTTTAAGGTTAAACTCTTCATTTTCTATAGGTTCTACTTCAGGAATTCGCGAAAGTGTGTCTGCTACAATATTATTTTTGCCTGAAATATGTTTGATGTCACTAGTAAATTGTGAAATATATTCAAGTTGCCTTGTCTGACGAGGACTACGTTCAATTTTCGAGTCTAGAACATAAGTTAACGGTTTGTGGTCTGTATAGACCGTAAATTTACGTCCTTCTAATATGTACCTAAAATGTTTAATAGTTTCATATATTGCTAACAATTCTCGGTCAAAAGCACTGTATTTAGTTTCAGATGCTGTTAATTTCTTTGAATAGAATGCTAAAGGCTCAAGAACACCTCCTATCGCAATTATTGAAGCGTCTACTGATATTGAAAGATTTGCTGTTTTGTCAAAATGGTTCAAAAGGACTTTTGACGCAAAAAACTCTTTGACTTTTTCAAAGTTTTGTGCCGCTTCACTATTCCAAATTAAACTATGGCTCTTTTGTTTCAAGGCAAGTGTTACCATTGTGTGAATCGGGCTTAAAAATTCCGCTAGCCTTGGTATATATCGATGGTAATAATTTACCATACCTATGAACTTTTGCATTTGTTTAGCTGTTTTGGGACGTTCAAACTCACGAATGACTTTGACTTTTTCATTATGCCTTCGTTAGAAATATTGTAACCTAAAAAATCGATTTGTGATGCGCCAAAAATGCATTTATTTGGCTTGATATTTAAGCCGAAATCGTCTAAAGTTTTAAATACTATTTATAGGTGTCGTAAATGCTCCTCTTCATGGCTACTTGCTATAAGTATGTCGTCCAAATATATAAAAATAAAATCTAAGTCCGCTAAAACTTCATTTATAAAACGTTGAAAAGTCTGCGCAGAGTTTCTAAGACCGAAAGGCATTCTTACAAATTCAAAAAGACCAAATGGTGTTGTTATCGCGGTTTTACCAATGTCTTCTTCCGCCATTGGTATTCGGTGATAGGCACGTACTAAATCTATCTTTGAAAAAATATGTTTTGAACGTAAGTTTATATTTAAATCGTGTATGTGAGGTAGTGGATACCGATCAGGTACTGTTATAAAATTTAATCTTCGATAATCACCACATGGACGCCAATCATTGGCCTCCTTTTTGGGTACTAAATGTAATGGAGAAGCCACATGTGAATTGGAAGAGCGACAAATACCAGATATCACTAAAAAATCAAACTCAGTTTTTGCTACTTTAGATTTAATTGGATCAAGTCTTCTCGGTTTCGAAAAAGGTAGTTAACCAACACAAATAATACGGTGAACAGTAGAAGTTTTAATGGGTTTATTGTAGTCAGGATCACATATTAAAGATGGAAATGCCTTAAGTAATTTTGTATATTTATCTTCTACAGGAAATAATTTTGACAACGTTATTTTCGAAAAACCAGATATTGCACTTACTGAAATATTTGTCAATGGGTCTACTAAACGTTTATTTCTCAAATCAACCAAAAGACCATATTTTGCTAAAAAAAACTGCTCCAATTATTGGTTTTGTTATATCTGCTATAATAAAACTAAATGGAAATTCTCTTCTTAAACATAAATTTACATTTAATATTTTTTTACCATAAGTTTTTATGGTAGTACCGTTAGCTGCCGTTAAAAATAAATCAGAACATTTGGCATTATTTTTGAATTTTGAAAAAGGAAGAACTGAAATTTCAGCACCACTGTCGATCAAAAATTGTAACTTGTTGTCTTTATCATAAACAAATAGGCGACGTGTTGAAATTTCGTCTAACCCATTACTTGTCGCCGAAGTAATAGGTGGAATTAGTTTTCCTGAGATTCATGCTGCCTGTATGAGCACGGTTGTTCGCATTTTCTTGCTTTACTGCCAAATCGATAGTGATATCTACAAACCCAGTTTTGAGAATTTGACCTTGTTCGCGAACGATTCCTACTAAATGCTCTAGAAGCTCTTGCTGATCTATTTTCCATGGTCTGCATCATAGAACAAATTTCCATGGACAACTTTTCAAAACTTTCACACATAGAAGAAGTAATTTTAGCTAAATTTTCCATTGATCTTTCGATGTGTGAATTTGTTGTCGTTAAACTATTGCTACAAACTTCACTTTTATTCATAACCTCCCACATATCATCAGCTAATTTAACCATATCCTGAATATTTACAGCATTTGATGCAGTTAAAGCAATATTCAGATTTTTTTGGCAATTTTCTTAGCCAAAGTTTCTTTAATAAATCTACACTGAAATTTGAACCTGCTAAAACCAAGAGAGATCGATATAACTCGGAGGGACTTCTATCACCAAGTTCTGAAGCAGATAGCACTTGGTCTAATCTTTTACATTCACTCAGCGAATGTCGTTCTATAAGATGCTTTTTTAAATTCTCATATTTACTTTCTGAAGGAGGGTTTTGAATAATATCAAACACCGTCATAATTACCTCTTGGGGAAGTGAAATTATGAGGTACTCGTATTTGGTATTATCCAACGTAATATTTTTTGATGCCAATTGAGCCTCAATATGAATGAACCATGCTTCGGGATGGTCATTCCAAAAAGTTGGTAATTTTACCGAAGTCGCTGCTATTTCCGAATTTTGTTGTTCATTTAAGTATTGTGTTTGTGTTAATTGTTGTGTACTGTTAGAATTGTTTGAGTTTGTGAAATCGATCAATGTCAAAGGATCTCGTGTAGGCGTGCGCGTGACCATTATAATAATTAATGAAGAAGGAGTTTACACAAATAATAAATATATATTAAAATAAATTTAAATATTTATATACTATAATAAACAGTATACTTGCTATTATGACTTATTGATGTTGTATAATTTTGTGCACTGGATTGCCTATTAACGTTGTTGCTGTTGTCGCAATGTTGGCTGCAATTTTAAAGTTGACTGTAACTGCGTTGTTGGTAAAAAAAAAATGCTGGCCGTTATCGGCACTTTCAACTTTTTGTTGTTGGTACCGCTGTTGCTGCTGCCGCACAGTGCCGCGACTCCATACAAATGATGGACAAAAATAGAAGGAGTGGTCAGAATTGGCTGAAACTTCACACCTAGAAGTATTATGCCCCTCTAATTTCAAAACTGAAATCGGTTTTTCTGTACCGGTTACTCATTTCGAGAAAACCGAGTTTTTCTTGCATTTTTATATGAAAATAGGCATTGTGGACATGTGTTGATATAAGTGGAAGGAGGCATCAGAATGGGCTGAAACTTTACACCTGAAAGGACTATATCACGGCAATTTAAAAAAAAAAAACGTTTTTCAGCATCTGTTACCATTTAATTAAAAAATTTTTTTTTTTACAATTTTATAAAAAGGTAAAATAACTCATAATCATCGTAGACATATGTTTATAAAAACCGAAATAGTATTCAGAACTTGTTGAAACTTTACACCTAAAAGGACTAACCCATGCTTATTTCAAAAATGAAATCGATTTTTCGGTACCGGGTACCCATTAAAAAAAAAAGATTTTTTTTTACATTACTATATGAAAGACAAATAAGGCATAATCATTGCTGATTGTGGTGTTTACGAAAACAGGAAGGAGTCGTCAGAATTTATTGAAACTTTACATCTGAAGTGTCTATATTACTCTAATTTTAAGAAAGTAATCGGTTTTTTTGTAACGGGTACCCATTAAAAAAACACCGAGTTTTTGCACATGATTATTTAAAAATGAAATATGGCATATCATTGTTGCTAAGTGTTCAGAAAAATAGTCTTAATAGTCAAAATTCGTCTAAACTTTACTTCCTAAATGAATACATTATGGTAATATGAAAAATTAAGTCGGTTTTCCTTACATGTTAACCTTTAGAAAAAAAAATTCTTTTGATTTCATTTAAAATAAAGCATAATCACTGTTAAGTAAGTAAGTAATAATAGCTGTTATATGGTAATAACATATAATATGTTAATAAAAACCGAACTAGTTGTTATAATCACTCAGTTTCAGAGTCCTCAGAAGAGGAGGAAGTGATCACTGATTCAAATGATTCCATGCTTTTGTCTGCTTCGTCACTTTCAACAATGTATTTATTAAAGCTGAGATCAGAACCCTTTAAATATTTAAATATTTAAATATTTTTTTCTGTTGCTGCTGCCGTAACTATTGCTGTTGTAAGTGGTCGTTGGCTATTAATGTTGTTGGCTATTACTGGGTTTTAGCTTATACACTCCCTCGCTGTAATGCTTAAATTAAACTCTGCTCGCTTTTGTCGCTTCTATTTTAGGGCTGCTAATAGTGCGATTTGCTGTCCAATTATTTCTCAAAAATCCCTTTTTTATCACTTTTTAATTAAATTAGCTTTGGTCAATTCCTTTTATTTTATTTAATCTGGCAGGATCGCCAATTGAAGAGGTTATATTTTATAATTAGCAAGGTTAATAGCGTGTATTATATATATATGCAATTTTATTTTATTTTAAAAAAGATGTGTTTATTCTATAAGAAAATTTTCCTGAATGAATTTCATTTTCTTTACATTTTGATTTTACAAACAAATTAAACAATTATTATTTTATTTAAACAAGTATAAATTCAGCAAGTTATAAGCACTACAATATAATATCTAGAATATACTACATTTTCTACGGCCTCAAGAACTGGCTCCTATGTGGATTCCTCCAAAATTTCGGGAACGACTTCATTTTCTGCTATGGTCTCTATTTCATATGTAATGACTGAAATACCATTCATATTATTAAATATCAATAACTATCACGTGTAAACATACAAAAAATCTTACCATCACTATCAAAACTGTTGGAAAAGCCGGTTGCCGACTGCCCCATTAAAGCTGCTAGCCTGTCTGTGTTGGAGTCAGTATAGCTTCGGAATTGACCACCACCTGTTTTGTGCATTTCCCTTCTCTCTTCGGCTAGGGACATTATTGCTTTTCGTTTCAAATTTTCATATTTTTCTCGCAAGTTCTTCGGCCCTCTTTTAACACCCATCTGGGCCTCAAACGCAACATCAATTTTCTCCCACACCTTTTTTTCCTCCTCGCAGAATACAGCATCAGTCCTTTTATTTTCTAAAATCATGGCGTGCTGCTCGGCCAAAGATATTAATAAAGTCTCCTCCGCGCTGGTAAAGTTTGGAAGGCGACTTTTTCTTTTATTTGAATCCATTTTTTTTATTGTCCACAAAAGACCAAGCTCTTCCTGTGAGATTCTTTACATTGTTAAAGTGCGTCCAAAAGTGATGTGATATTTGAAGGAATATGTGGGTTATCATATAGCTATTCCCGTACTCCAGGATTTGCAGGTTTTACAGGAAGCTTTTCCTGTAAAACCTGCAAATCCTGGTTTCGGGAATAGGCTAATAATTAACAAGTTGGTACACAAATTGGTAAGCACAATATCTTTAACACAATTGTCAATTGTTTGAAACAATTTTAAAACAAGAAAACCGCAAACAAAAAACAAAAATCAGCTGTGTAGTCTGCTTTTGTCTATTCACAATGCAACTTTTGTGAACTCTTTATTAAAATATTCACAATGCAACTTTTGTGAACTCTTTATTAAAATATTCACAATGATCGGTATAATCGGAGGTAAGCTAATCGGACCTTGGTGAAAACGAAATTGTCTATTAAAGATATCAGCGATTAACCAACCGCTGATTAAAAATAATTTAATCAGTCTATAAGAAACCGGCCCTAAGTGATTCATATCAATCGATTTCTTTTTTCACTGACACTCAAATTTTAAAATAAATTTTTATTTGCAATTTTTATGCAAAGTTAAAAAAAAAATAATTATTTTTGGTTTTTATATCATAAATCCAAAATAACAATTATTTATGATTTTTATATTATATGTCTTAGATAACAGTTATTGAGGACTTTTATTTATAAAGGTCATCAATAAAAATCAGTCAGTGACTTTTACTTTTAAAAGTCATCAATATAAATCAGTCACCGACTTTTATTTTTTAAATCATTCGTATAAAAGTCATTAACATTTTTTGCAGTTAAGGTGTTGGGAAACAAAAGTTTACTACGACTTATACAAATGACTTTTATAAGTATGATTTAAAAAATAATGGTCGGTGACTTATTTTTATCTATGACTTTTATAAATAAAAGTCTTCGAAAACTGTTATCCGAGACATATAATTTAAAAATCAAAAACAACTGTTATTTGCAATTATTTAGATAAAAATCAAAAATAATTATTTTGGATTTATAAAATAAAAGTCAGATATAACGGTTATTTAAGCAGTAATTAAATTAAAATCAAAAAATAATTGTTATAGCGTTTTTTTAATAAAAGTTGTAACTGTTACGGTCCCTGTGTAAAATGAATAAAAAATATAACCACATAACTAGATAACCTGATAACCAGGCAAGTGTGAACAACCTCAATGTCATTTTAGTTTTTATAAACAATCAAAGCAATTAAAATAACAATTTTGACGTCGCTTTGGAACCTTTTGTAAGTTTTTTGAGTATAACATTTTCAGCGAATATGCAGACATTCAAAAATCATGGTAATCGGCATCTGGATACGCTTATAGACGACAAGTTGATTACAGTGACATAGAATACGCTATTCCGAAAATCTGCGGTGTTGATATGGCCTATACGGTGACTGATTTCTTGGGGAAGTGATCGGAAGTGATGGCAAGCATAAATGCCGATGAGAAATTCATTCATCATTCCCACGACAGCCGGTTCTTCGTACCGGAATAAGTCGGGTTTTACCCGACCAAGGGCTGCTGTTTCGGCGATCTGGGACAGAAACCTACACCTCCTGCGTGCGCCAGAGACGACTACACCCAAACTCCACCTCATTCAGGTGCAATACTTGCAACGAGTGGAATCACCTCAGAGTCTGCTCAGGTCCAAGGACTCATCGGCAGTCGACAGCATCATATTGGCCCCCTGCTGCTCAAACGGAGCTGCCTCCACGGCACACCCAAGTTCTCCTGAGCAGCTCAACACAAACAAAACCGCACCACAACACAATGGACCATACCACAACCACTACAGATATAACCGGACCACCACCCATACGCCGCCGCCAACAACGTTTGGTTCCTCCAACAATCTGCACGGTGTGGCAGACCAGGATTTCCGAAACGTGACATCAGGCAATTGCAACGCCAGCCTGGGCTGGTTACTTTAGTGTATGTTCAGGACTGCGCACCGCGAGAGATTGGACGAGGAACTTCCGAGACCCCGTGCTGTGCTGATCGTTCGCTAATACCAACTGCGAAGCCGCCCACTACCACCACAGGGCGGCACCTTCCACAGCAGCAGACACATCCAACGGCGGGCAGGCAACACATACTCACACCCCACATAACAACAAGCCTCCTTAGGCACGCGAAGTTGTAACGGACTACAGAGTATTAGTAGCTGCGTGCCCCTAGACCCAAAAATAAAGTATCAATTTTGGGGTTATATTTTCTTTGGTTCGCTCTGAAAAGTAGAACTGTAATGCTAAAGTTTTAAAAGAACGCCAAAAGCCACAGGGGCGATCGATTTGAGTTTTGTAAAATGGGGTTTTCTTCTGCAGGTGAGTTCTAGATAAGGCATAATTTAAAAATTTTTTAATATCTTACACTGATTAGTATTTAATGAAATTATTAATGAATCGGAACGAGTCCGACCTTTTGTTTAAAACGCGATTTTGTACCATATGTATGGAGACCATTCGCACCGATTTGACGGGACAGTACCGATTTTGAGAGAGTTGTCCCTCTGAATATTTTTTAAAAGTCGGGATGCAAATAAGCAAGTTGCGGTTGAGTACGAACGTGTTCTTTATTCGCTCCATAAAAAATCATGTTTATCGTTTAACTAAAAATATTTAACCATCGAAGGACACACTGAACCATGATTCGAGTTTTGGGTCGTCGCGAACTGCCCTCAGCAGTATAAAAAATTAAAGCGTGATCGTGAAAAATACCTAAATGAACAATAAGACATTGTATATATGAAAATAAATAAATTATTGTTTACATACAAAATACGAACGGTAGTTAAGTGAGAGATGAGTGTCCAGGGCGTTTCCCTATAAGAGCGCAGGCACTCAATCCAAAGCGTAAGCTAAAGAAATTCATATTTGACAATTACTGCATGCAGCCCAAAAAGCAAAACCAGCAACAACAACGCTAAAGAAAACACTTCATCACAAACACCAGATGCAGCCAAGCAAATAGCACCATCTTGCTCTCCAGCAGTGATCAATGCGGACAACAACGTAGCTGTCGCTACTAATAGTTCGACGGCAACAAACAAAGAAGAAAATAAAGCAAAAAATGCTACTGTTCAGACTGGGTTAGATCGCTACATACTAATAAAGCGAAAGCGCACAACCGAAAAAAATGGAAAACAAAGTTCAAAAAATTAAATTTTGAAAGTAGTTATTTATTTTATTATTTATTTATTTATTCAAATATATATTCAGTACAATATTACACAATTCCATTATTGTATCCCGCGAATCTTAGGGTGCTTATATGCGGGTATAGTTTATAATAGTTCGTTGCTACATTTGTTTAGTAATAGCTTTTGATTAATTATAATCTTACAATTAAATTCAACAATTTTTAATGAGCTTGAGGCCATTTTTTAATCAAAAACTTATTGTCGAAAAGCAACAATAATGTGAAAAAATGGTAGAAGTGATAGCTATTTCGGAAATCACCACATCTCCTCATCAGACTTCTTTCAGTAGGCTTCGAACCGACGATCCCACTGACTCAGCCAGTTGCATATGCACTGTGCTAAGTTCGCCTTGTAAATTATCGTTGCTTTTTTCCACTTTTTCATTTTGTTATGCCAACACAATCAAGCGCAACTATTCCGCTGCAATTCACTTGATCATGTGGTTGTTGGCTCATTAAAAATTGTTGAATATAATTGTTATAAGGCCATAAAATAACAAAAACATATTACAATTAAATTCATCTTTTACATTGAGTTCAAATAATGATTGTTAATTAATGTGTTTCTATGCGGTGTTTTTGGTAGATTTAAGTTGTTTGCTGGTAGTTCATTTAGTAGAGTCGGGATTGTGACACTAAGTGAGTGTTTTGAGTACTCATTCCTGAATTTAGGTACCTAGAAGCGTCCTTCTTCCCGTCTTCGTGTTTTATAATTATGATCTATGGGTTTTCTGAACTGTGTGGCACTGTAGATTTAAAGATGGAGTTTATATCAAGCATTTTGAGTTCTTTATTTTTCGATTTATCACTGCTTAGTTTTAGTTTTTTTGAAAGAATTTTCAGTATATAATCCTGGCTTTGTTGCAGTTGTTTACGCCTGGTTGTTGTACCCCATACTGTTATTCCGTGTCGTAGGTGGGTTACTACAAGCGATAGATATGCCTGTCTGAGGACACCATAGTCGCTGCAGTAAGTTAGATGACGGAGAAAATATGACATCTTTCGGAGTTTTTTCTGCAATTCTAATACATGGTCACGCCATTTTAAGTTCTTGTCTACAATAACTCCTAGATACCGATAAGTGCTTACAACTTCAATTAACGTAGTGCAATCACAAGTTGTTATGTGATTTATGTTGTGTTTATGCAAACATCTGTGATCGTGATATTTTAATCTTATATCAGCGGGTTGAAAGTGCGGAGGTCGAATATGCATAAGCTTCGTTTTTGTAGCGTTAATTACCAAGCCGTTATCATGGGACCATCTTGTGATAATATCAAGATTTCTTTGCATTATTTGCAAAGCTGTGTTCAAGTCCCTGTGAGATACAACGACGGCAGTATCGTCAGCGTATGCATAGACTTCGCAATTCTTTAGGCTTTGTAACATACCGTTAGCGTAAATAATGTACAACAGTGGCCCCAGTTTTGATCCTTGTGGAACGCCGTATAAGTTGACTGTTTCATCGCTTTCTTCTTCATTTATTTTAACTTTAAAATTCCTATTTTTTAAGTAGCTTCTGAACCAGTTTAAGCAGTTTCCGCGTATGCCTATATTTTCAAGTTTTTCGAGTTACTTTTCATACGACAGTGTAACAAATGCCTTACTGAAGTCGATGAACAAGACCAAGTTGTGGTGATTTTGACCGAGGTTCTCATTCAATGAGGTAGCAAAGTTTGCTAGTAGCTGGTTTATATTTTTCCCTTGTTGGAATCCATATTGATTACGGTGTATTACATTATATATTGTTATAAACTCTCTTAGCCTTCTGACGACAACTTCTTCCATTATCTTTTCTATGGCGGGTAAAATTGCGATCGGCCGACAATTTTTTGGTTCTGATTTAGAGCCTGCTTTGAAA